CTCAAAGACAACCAGACACTATGGGAGAGAGATCCAATAGATCTACCATCTCAGGACCGTAGTACTGAGGGACACCAGACTCAATTGGCACAATAAAATACATAAAAGCCTTGTTCTACATCCATTGGTAGGTAGAGACTGGGGTCTTAAAAGCTTTCAAGTGGCCATCTAAGATGCAGCTAATGGTCTCCTAGTGTCGGAAGCAAAGAAGAATGCAAAAAGAAAAAAAAAAGGGGGGCATTTGGAAACAATCAGCCATAGGATACGATGGCCCATGAGACCAGAAGAACTAGATGGTGCCCAGCTACCAATGTCAACCACTCAGGAAAGGATCAAATCTGGAGATCCTGGATAGAGTCGGAGGAAAAACATGGAACAAAATCCAAAAACTCAATAATGACTGGGAATTACTGGTCAGATGAAATCTGGTGAGACCCCCAATACTATGGCCCTGGAATACATTCTGTGCCTGGAATAAAATGCATCACCAGGGGCTGGCTCTCAGCCCAATAGTTAACAAGACGTACACGCAGACCACTCAATCTAAGATGACGCACTACATACTTTATGGTAATACATCCCTTAGAGCAGTAGACCATGGGATACCAGAGGACCAACATTCAAATAGAGGAAATACAGGACAAACAGGAGTGCATAAATATGAGGGACCCAGGGAGAGGGTTACAGGGAGGGAGGTGAGGAGACTGGGTTAGGGTTGGACTTGGTAAATGGGGAATGAAACTAAATGTACACATAACACTGAATGTGAAACAAGCTCTTAAAATAGAAAAATAAACATAAAATAATAATAATAAAAGAATGGTAAGATCCGACAAGTTTCTGCTGTGCCAAGAGGTCAGACAGTGTGATGTTCAAGAATGAGGGCCCTAGAGCCAGGATGCCTCAGTTCAAATCCTGCCTCTGTCAAGCAAGCTGACCTTGGATGAATTACCTTCTCCTCTTAAGATTCCATTTCCTCCTCTGGGAAACTAGAAGACTCTCCATTTCTCTAACTGTCATTGAGAAAATGTCTGTAAAGCTCAGCACACTTCCTCACATGGCCTCAGTGCTCACTGAACAGTGGCCATTATCTTGTATTTGTTCTCACTGTGTTACTGGGCAGTTAGAATAACAGCAGTGACGTCAGCATGAACAACTGTACTGCTGTCGTTTATGAGAACTCTAAGTGCTGTGCCTCAAAGAGTAAAGCCAACGAGACCAAGTACCGAGGAGCAGTGAGTGCAACAGTACGTGGATAGTGGAGGGCAACATGGTGCAGCCACTTGGGAAAAATATTTGTCACTCTGTCCTAATGCTGAGAACAGACCTATCCCATGACCCAGCACTTCTTCTCTTTGGGCATATAACCAACAGAACTAAGTGTTTATATTCACAGATATTATGAACAAGAATATTCATAGCAACATCCCTCATAATATCTGAACATTGTAAACATTCCATATGTCCATGAACAGGACAATAAGAAAAACACATTGTCACTTTTCACAGTGTTATAGGACACAGTACACAGGCTCAACCAATCTCATGGACACATGATGATCAAAAGAAAAATAAACAAAAGAGAACATATTTGAGATTCTTGAATTTATATACATCCAAGAATAGTTAAAGAAGCTCTGGTGGCATAGTGCCCAAGGCATCTGACTGCTAACCAGAAGGCTGGAGGTTCAAACCCACCAGCCACTTCTTGGAAGGAAGGTTGGACAATTTACTTCCATACTGGTATTGCCTCAGAAACCCAAGGAGGGGTCGCTATGAGTTGGATCCAATTCAACGGCAGCGAGTTTGGTTTTTGTGGAAGAATAGTTCAGATTAATCCATCATGATAGAGTCTATGTAGTGACTGCCATTGTAAGAGAATCTAACAAGGATGGGACCAGGAATCTGTCAATGTGCTGGAAATATGTTTAATCTTGACCCAAGTAGAGGATTTGTTGTTGCTGCTGGTTGTATTGAGTGGACTCATGAAACCCTGTATGTGCAAATACTGTGTTGTCACTGAAGACAAACATGGATATACAGGTGGATAGATGGGTGGACAGGCTGAACTATTAGGTATGTCTATGCAGGGGGGAAGTGTGCCCAAGACCATGTATAGGGTTGGGAGACATGTTTTTATTGGTATGTTCTGTAAGTATCCCCAGGAATACAGTAGAGCTGACAAGGGACAAGGTTGTAGTCACTTCTTGGCCACAGCCAGCTACCCAGAGGAAGCGAGTAGTTGGACCTGTGGGCTCAGGACCATAGTCACAGGGCACATCAAGCTCAACTGGCATAACATACCACACAAAAGCACTACTTCACATGCTACTTTGACGAGTAGTGATTGGGATCTTAAAAGCTTGCAAGCAGCCATCTAGATGCAACAATGGGTCTCTTCTTGTCTAGAGCAAAGTAGAATGAAGAAAACCAAAGATTCATGGAAACAATTAGTCCAAGTGACAGGTACACCATGCGAGCCTCAGCCTGTATGACTATGAGACCAGAAGAACTAGATGGTGCCTGGCTACCACTGTCAACCACTCAGAGGGGGATCTATGTAGGAGATCCTGGATGGAGAGGGAGAACAAAACTCAAAATCATTTGGAAGGAAAAAAAAAAGGGGGTGAGGGGTGACCAGGTTTGCTGGTCTGATAGAGCCTGGTGGAACCACTGAGACTATGGCCCCTAGCTGCCCTTCAGGTCTGGAATTGAACCCACATCTGTGGCTTCCAGCCAAACAAAAGACAGGCATATGAGTTGAACATTTACCTGAGGTAGATACACTCCTTGGAGAGAACAATCATGGGAGAAAGAAGGGCTGCTTATGCACAGGGAGACAGCTCAGGGGGCAGGAGTGCATGGAGGAATGGACACAGGGAGGAGGTAACTATTGGGAGGAAGTGGGGGGAAGCTGTTGCATTGTGGTAAATTGTAGTCAATGCATTAAGACAAAGTGTATGTGAACTGCTGTATGGAAAGTGAATTTGCTCTGAAACTTCCACCCACATCACAATTAAGAAAAAAAAAAAAAAAGAAGTTGAAATAGAATCTGGTCAGCCACTGCAGAAATATTTCACATGCCCATATGAATCAAAATCCCCCTGTCTACAAAAAGAAAAAAGAAACCCTGTATGTGCAGAATGGAACTGTGCCATAGAACTTTAAAACCTCTGATCTTTCATAAGCAGATCACAAGGCTTCTGAGATGATTCTGAACACATTAGAACTTCACACCATTCAGCTAGCAGTCACATGTTTTACCAATTTCAGCTCTATGTTTAACAAGAACTTGGTATATGCTGAGACATCAACAGCTAAGGGAAGGGAAGATTTGAAACAATGTCTGAGTGTCTGCAGGAGCTGGTGTAAAAGAAAGCTGGTGGGACAAATGTGGGCTGACATTGTCCCAGCAAAAGATGGTAAGAGCTTGGACTAGGGTCTTGTTTAAGGTGGTGGAAGTAATGGACTCAAGGGACTCACAGGATGTAAAATAGGTTGGATTTAGGAATGGATGGATGGCTTTGATGGACATGGAGGTGTCTAGGGGCCATCTGAGGTTGTCTCCAGCCTTCTAATCTACTTTGATGGAAGACGATTCTCTGAACCTGGGGATGAGGGAGTAGCAGGCAAGATCAGGAGTTTCTTCTAAGGCACACTGGGCTCACGGTACCTTTGAGACACTGAAGTGAAGGTGTGAGATTGAGGATGGAAGAGTGTTTGGAATCAAGGGCTGGAGGTGGAGCTGGCCAAAAATACTGACTGGCTGGCTGAGCACCTGAGGACTATCAGAGAAGAGTAACCATTACTTCACGGTGATTCCAATCCACTTGGGAGATGGTTCCAGCTACGCTAACAACACAGATGTGGGCTACACAAGACGAAATATCATAATGGTGTTATTCAGGACAGGGGGCAGCACAATATAGTACAAGGTGCTGCTTTTGAGTACAGATGGTCTCCAACTTATAACACACTCATGTTAGGATGAGCCACACTTATGAGCCTGCTTTTATTTTTGTTTTTTATCATTAGTGATAGGCACTACATACAACGGTGCAGCGTGTACTCTGATGTCCTTTCTCAGATGTTGACTCACAGATGTTCAAAGATCAGATCTATAAAGATGATAATAAAAGGCAATAGTGATGAGAAATAAGAAAAAATGAAGTATCTGTCTTACATCAGAACTGACTGATGACAGAGCCGTCAGAACGGAATTCCATGAGTTGGTGACTACCTGTATATGATGGGCAAGTAGGAGGATGGATGGATGGATGGCAGAGGTGGCAAAGACTGGGATACAGAGCATAGTGTAGATCATAATTTGAAGGGCAAGTAAGACCCCTTTACCTTGGAGTCCAGAAAAGTCCAGAAGTATGTGTGACATCACTATTACACATTATGACTAATTAGTATTATTCCATGGATACTACTGAGAGCTAACCGCTTTGGTAGACCCTTTCTATGGATCAGACACTGTACTAAGAAGTTTCCTGAATTATCTAATTGCATCTTCGAATAACCCAGTGACATAGAAACTCTTATCACTCTTATTTTTTAAGAGAAAGCTCAGTGTAACAGACTGAGTTGATGTAAACCAAGTCCATTTGCTCTTCTCCTTGGGCGCACAACTAATCCACATGTCCTAGGCCTTTGTACACAGGTGTGGCCAAATGCCTTGTTCTTCTCAGTAGAAGGTGTGTTAGTGAAGTGTGTGTCCAACTGGGTGTGACTTGTCTCCTTCCCCTCCTTTCTCCTCCATCAGCTGGATGATGCCAGAGCCACCTTAATGCTATAGTTCAAAGTCAGAAGGCACCCAGGTCTCTGAATAACCGTGTGGTACAGAGCTCCCTGCTGATGTACACTGTACCTCGAGACAAGCAGACCCCTAGGGACAGCACAACCAGGAGTCTGATACAGACGCTCAGAGGCCCTTTCTATGGATCAGACACTGTACTAAGACCATGACCTCACCTGACCAGCCATTGGCTTCTCACCTAGATGGGTGCTTTGGGAGGGACCCCTCTTCATGTTCCACAGCTCCTGCCCATGATCCAGTAGGTGGGTCAAGTCTGATTTGGGAACTGCATGTCCTGTTGATGGAGAAAGAAATTGGACAGAGGTGTTTTGATAAGAAGAATGAATCATCTCAGTCCTATCTGGAGCGTCATGGCAGGGAAGAGATCATGAATGAAGTTCCTCCCAACACAGTAAACAAACTGCTGATTGGTGTCTTGGGAACCAAGGGCACAAGTCCCAGTCTTGGATGCCAGTGCTGTATGAGGCAGTGCTGGTTGTCTGCACAGCACCCATCCACTTGACCTCCGTGTCTTCATTTCCTAGTGCTGCTATAACAAATATACCATAAGTGGTGGTTTCATACATATATTTTCTCACAGCTTAGAAGACCAGAAGTCTGAACTCAGGGCACTGGCTCTAGGGGAAGGGCTTTCTCTGTCGACTCTCGGGGAAGGTCCTTGTCTCTTTTCAGCTTCTGCTCCCTGGCTCCTTGGTAAGCCTCATGTGGCCTGGCATCTATCTTTTCCCATCTCTTAATCTGTTCTTTTATATCTAAAAAGAGATTAATTTAAAGCACACCCTACATTAATCCTACCTCATCTACATAACAAAGAAAACCCATTCCCAAATGGGACCGCAACCACAAACAAGTACATTCATCCAGAAAAGTCCAGAAGTAAATGTGTGACATCACTATTACGCATTATGACTAATTAGTATTATTCCATGGACACTACTGAGAGCTTACTGCTTTGGTGGACCCTTTATATCCTAACAGGTGTTAGGATTTGCAACGTACATTGTTGGGGGATGAAATCCAATCCATGACAACCTCCATCTGTTCAGGTGCACATCCCTTTCACAACACAGGCTTGGGACACAGACACAGAGAAGGTTAGCCTCTCCTTCCACATGTTGTTGGTTTTGGGTGTCATCAAGTCAGTTCTCACTCATAGTGAGCCAACTGACAGAGCACAACTGCCCCATAGGGTTTTCTTGGTTATAATCTTCAAGGGAGCAAATTGTCAGGTCTCTGTCCCATGGTGCTGCTGGGTGGATCTGAACCATCAACCGTTTGCTTAGCATTAAAGCACTCTACCATTGCACCAAGGTATGTCTTAACTCCTTTAAGTCACTCATTCTCAAACATGCTGTGCTTCACAAACACCTAGGAATGGATGCCTCTTCCAACCACAAACCAGATGAGAGGCAATGTCTTGGGATGATGCCTGGACAACAGGAGTTTTGAAAGCTCCCTAAGAGATTCTAGAGCCCAGAGAGGGTTGAGAACCACTGGTCCAGATCAGTTGGTGAGTGGCATCCCTACCATCCTCTGAGGGAGGAGTGACCTGAGCTAGACACTCATCTGAAGAGAAAGCTAGTCCCGTGTAGGAGAGTGTCGGCCAAGGGGAAGGCTGCCCTAGCTACTACACTGCTCAGCATCCTGTGAACTCTGAGGGGAGCCAGACTGAGGACAAGGTGGACACCTGGACCAGGGAGAGGAGAGGTGCAGAGTCTTGCCATCCCTGTGCTGTCATGCTCCCCAAACCAGGAGCCAGCCCCACTGTGGGACTTCTCATCAGGTGAGGGAGTAAATTTCCTTCCACGAGGGTCTTTTTTTTTTTTTTTTTTTAATTGTGATTTGGGTGAAAGTTTACAGAGCAAATTCACTTCCACACAGCAGTTCACATACACTTTGTCTCATGACATTGACTACAATTTTACCACAATGCAACAGCTCCCATCCCACTTCCTCTCAATAGTTACCACTTCCATCCCTCCACGTCCTCCTGCCCTCTGAGCTGTCTCCCGGTGCATAAACAGCCCTTCTTTCTCCCATGATTGTTCTCTCCAAGGAGTGTAACTACCTCAGGTAAATGTTCAACTCATATGCCTGTCTTTTGTTTGGCTGGAAGCCACAAGTGTGGGTTCATTTCCAGACCCGAAGGGTAGCTAGGGGCCCAAGTCTCAGTGGTTCCACCAGGTCTATCACACCAGCAAACCTGGTCTCTCCCCCCCCCTCCTTTTTTCTTTTCCCAGGAGGGTCTTAAAAGCTTACAAGTAGCACCTAAAGCATGACAATTGGTCTCTATTTTCCTGGAGGAACAGAAGGAGAGTAGGGCATAGAAGATATGGGATGTGTGGCTGACTGCCTTCATGAACAACTGCCTCCTCTGCCATGACACCAGAAGAACTGGATGGTGCCTGGCTACTATAACTGAAAATTTTGGTCAAAGATTCTATGGAAGAATTCCAGTCAAAAGGGGAAACATGCAGAACAGAATTTGAAATTATCATGGAATCCTGGTTTTCTGGAGCCATGAAGTCTGGATGAACCTCTCCAACTACTGGCCTGAGATAATCTTTAACCTTTAAGCTAAAAATATCCTGAAGTCTTCTTAAAACCAAACAATAGTTTAGCTTAACTAGTAAAGAAAGCCTGCTATGGGAATGCTACTCTTTTAAGAACTATCTACATGGGATCAAAGTGACTAACACAAATCAAAGGATTAGGTAGGAACCGCATGGGGCAATCAGTTTATGTTAATGGAGGAAGAACAACTCAACAATTAAGAGGAGAATGGCTGCACAACTGGAAGAATGTAATCAAAGTCACTGAATTGTAAGTGTGGAAACAGTTGAATTGGTGTATGTTTTGCTGGGTATATTTTGAATAACAAGCTTCCTTTCAGAAGTCAGTTTGGGTTCTTCTTCTGTTACATGCAGCCAAGCACATTTCAATAAAGGTAGGGCATGAAAGACAGCAGGGCTGTACAGAAGCCCAATGGCCCCACAATTCTCAACAGGCAGATTCCAATCCCCTACCCAGAGCTAATCCCATCATCACACAGTGAAAGCTCACTGGTGTCCTCTGTGTGCCTGGCACAGTGATGGGCATGGAAAAGCTGATGCAGACCTTCCTTCAGCTCTGTCAGGAGTTGAGCTCTCTGCAGCCACAGGGCCTTTGCATATGCTGGGAACACTGCATCTCCCCTCCCCACCTCTAAAAGGGCACTCTAGTAAATGAGAAAGTCAGTTTCACTTGCCACAACTGGAAGGTTGAAACACATTGAAACATGACCTCAAATGTTTTGCACTCAACTACTAACCAGAAGGTTGGTGGTTCAAACCCACCCAACAGCCCCACAGACAATGGGCCTGGCACTCTTACATACAGATTGGAACCAAACCAAAACAACAAAATCCACTTGCCAACGAGTTGCTTCTTATTCATAGTGACTTTATAGGACCAAATAGAACTGCCCCACAGTGTTTCTAAGGCTTTCATCTTTATGGAAGCAGCTGCCAAGTATTTCCCCCACAGAGCTCCCTGTGGGTTCAAACCACCAACCTTGCGGTGAGTAGCCGAGCACTTAGCCACTGCACCACCAGGGCTCCTTACATAAAGACGACGGCCAAGAAAACCCTATGGAGCTCTACTCTGTAACACATGGGGTCATCATGAGTTGGAATCCACTCGACACCAATGGACTTGGTTTTTTGCTCTGCTTCGCCAACTGGGAAAACGGATTCCACTTGCCACAAGCAGTAGGTGACCATCAAAACATAACAATGAAGTCAACAGTTATGACATCCTCGTGAGAGTCACAGCTGCTGCCGCTGTGGCGATGAGGAAAGCGCCCTAGCTAGAGGGGCCCAGGAGATCAGCACTGAACCAAGACTTCTCTCAATGACAGTGAGCAGGTGGACAGAGCAGGGAAAGGGACTGGCTTTCTCAGGTGTCCACAGTGGCATCTGCTGCTGTCTGTGAACCCTCTAACACCATCTCCTGTACCAAAGGAGTATGGCCCAAGCCTTAGGGAACCAAGGCTGATGGGGCAGGTACCAGGGTCCTTCTTACCTAGACTGTGCTGTTTAGGAAAATGCTGGGGGCATTGATGGCAGATGCCTGAGGGAAGGGGCTGCCTGACTCACTGCCTTCTCCGAAAACAGCCATCACGCATGGCCCTGACGGGCTGTGGGGACAATGGACCCAACCAGGCTGAGTCTGACCACTTCCCTCCTGCGGACTCTGGCTGGAGGCAAGGCTGGGAAGGTACTGAGGTAAGGGCTGTGTTTAGAAGCTGCATCTCTGTTGCCCAACAACTGCGGGCATAGACACGGGAGAGCAGGCAGGAGAAGGAATCGGAAACCCGAGGGGCTGTGGGGAGAAGGCATGGCGGTTCCTGTGGCCTTTGTGAGCTGCCAAGAATCAAGAGGAAGTGGTGGTGACAGTCCCTGGGTCAGGCCAATATGCCATAAGACCCAACCACGCGAGATTAAATCAGTCACTATCCGAACTAAACTAATTACATTAACAAAGAAGAAGAAGAGGTGGTGAGGAATGAGGCCTTACCCAATGAGACCAGGAGCCTGCAGGTATCCAGCATCACCTCCCGGTACAGGGTCCTCTGGGCCAAGTCCAGCTGCCCCCACTCCTCCCGCGTGAAAGTCACGGCCACATCCTTGAAGGTCACAGACACCTGGAAAATCCAACAGGTAGGACTTTGTTGGCCTTGGGTTGTCTGGTGGGATTAGAGCTGGTTGCTCAGGCAGCGGTGAAGGTGTGGAGAGACTTATGGCCAGAACCACCAGGCCCCCAGGGCCTAGCTCTGTGCTGGGCTCCAGGGCAAGGTAGATGCCGCTTTCGGATGTTAGGAAACTGACTGAGAGAAAAGCCTTCAGTGGGGAAGGCCACTGGAGAAGGACACAAGGGTAGGACAACCTTGTATGGACTGAGAGGCAGGCTGGAAGTTCACTAGGATGTAGAGGAATAAAGAGAAATGATAGGTAGGCCCCAGCATACACTGGGGTTCTGCTTCAATGACTGCTGCAAGTTGGTCCTGAGGTAAGTCGAATAACTTTTGTTTTTGTTTTCCTCATTACTGCCTTTTACTGTATCTTTATATATTATAAAATTGAACATGTGAGTGAATATCTGAGAATGGTACCATCAGCAAATTACAACTGCGACTCTGTACGTGGTGGTTGCTGTTGTTGTTGTTGTGTGCCATAGAGTCAGACCCAACTGACTCACAGTGACCCCTCCCTGGGTTTCTGAGGCGGTATGACTAGGGAAGTAGATTGCCCAACCTTCCTTCCGAGGAGTGGCTGGAGCGTTTGAACCGCCAGCCTTCTGGTTGGTAGTCAAGTGCCTTAGGCACTACACCACCAGAGCTTCTTCTGTATGTGATACATATACTAAAATCTACAAAAAACAAAGTCATAAGTGTAGTTCATCCTCACTCGAATTCATCATAAGTCAGGGACTACTTGTACTTCCAGCCGTAACAGCAGCAGCACTGAGCCCCACTCGTCCTCGCAGTATGTCTGTACACGCTAAGGGCTTTGGTAAAGGGATTACAAGTCCCAGTCTCTGGCTCCAGGCTCCTAGGTTGAAATCCAGCTTCCTTAAATCAACACTGGCCTGCTGTGGAACCTTGGGGGAGTCCCTTAATTTCTTCTCCATATCAATAAAAGGGTAATGCCTACTTCACCAGGTAAACAAAAGAAAAAATGTTCACAAAGCCAATGCTGGGATGCCTGGCACATTTCAATGCTTGGAGTGTTTTTGTGCCTTTTACTGGCACTTCCATAGCCCATGAGTGAAATGCAATAATCACCTCTATGCTAGTCAGCAAGGAGCCCTGGTGGCATAGTGCTTAAGCATTCAGATAGGAACTGAAAGGCTCTATGAGAGAAAAGATCTGATGGTCTGCTTCCAAAAAGATACGGCCTTGGAGACCCCATAGGGCAGTTCTACTCTGGCCTCCTGGGTCACTGACTTGGAATTAATTCAATGGCAATAGTTTGGTTTGTCTGGTCAGAGTCAGCATCCCGAGGCTCAGGGAGCTCTTACACTCACCCAGACTCAAGTCTAAGGGCTCAAGTGGTATTTGACCATCCAGTGAAAGACCACACATTGTCACTGTCCTAGGACATGCATTGGGTGATGGTGGAACCCCTAATAACCACACAGCTTTCTTAAACAACAAATATCAGCTGCCTTGGTCTATGTGGTTCCATCCAGCTGAAATGTCCCCTTCCTGCTCTTATTCCCAAACCCACCTATGGAAGGGAGAGCTGCCCACCTGCAAAGGTCTATCTCGGTTAGAGATGACTCTGGGAGGAGTGATCGAGGTCACACGCTCTGGTGGTTGACATCCTGAGTTTGAGTTTCTGCTACTTCAGAGTAGTGTGACCCTGGGCAAGTAACTTCACTTCTCTGGACCCCAAAGTCCTATTCTGCAAAGCAGGGATGAGAACAGAACCTAAGTCTGAGAAGGTGGTGATGAAATAAGTGATACATAATGAGTGCCCCTAAGTCTATTTCAAGGGCTCAGTAAAGGATGGCTTTACAGTTAGTTTTTGTGATTTTTCTCTGCTCCCATGGCAATCTGGCACCCTGCAACCTTGCTCATGTCCCTCCGTGTGGGGATTGTCCCTCATTGTGACAGATTCCCCGCAGAAAGATGTCAGAAGATAGACATGTTGGGGCAAGAGGAACCTCAGCTAGAACCAGAAAGGTCAGGAAAAAAGGCTCCTAAGAGATGACATCGATGAAAGGGAAGGATGTGAAGGGGTGGCTCTGTCGATAAATGATATCTGGGGACACTGTCCCGGGCACAGGGAACTGGCAGGACAAAGGCTGCATACTGGGCATATTGTGGCACGTTCAGGAACTCCTTGGATGCAGAGGGCACGGGAAGAATGGAAGGGGGGAAGACACAGGTGGCTTGGCTCGGGCAGCTCCAGTCGGGCCCCACAGGCCGTGAGGGGGGCGTATTCTGAATTTGATAGGAGCCGTCACAGGTTAGACCCATCTCCTGAGCACCTTTTATAGCCCCAGCCTGCTCTAGGCCTGGGGACAGAGCAGCGGACAGGTGCTCCTCTTCCAGGCTTGGACTCAGATCCTCCACAAGTGAGGCAAAGTCAGACAGCCCCAAGGATTCCAGAGAAAAAGAACAGAGTGAGAACAGACATTAGGGGTGACTTTAGATGGGGCGACTAGGGAAGGCCCTTTTGGGGAGAAGGCACTTGCATGAATGAAGTTAGGAAGGAACCATGCAGACACAGTAAGTGAACTAACAAGACAAGTCCTGACAGTGACCTAGGCTATGATGAGAGTGACAGGGTGCAGTGCTAGAGAGTAAACCCAGGGCTGTCGTGTGTTTATGTCCAAAGGAACACCATGCTCCTGCACACTGTCATCACTCAACGTTTTAACATGCTCACTCTTCAAATATATCTAAACATTGTAAACAGGAAAACGCATTCACTCCTGTCAGTAATTTACTCCATGTAAACTGATGACAATCACAAAGGGAAATCCAGGGGCCTTCTGGGCTCGCAGCCTGCCTGGCAGCCTTCTCTGACCCTGCAGAGTAACAATTCCACAAAGCCCTCGTCCCACCGGCTTTCGGCCACAAGCTCTCCTCCTCCTGTCACCCAGTCCTTAGCTTTGTAGGGAGGACCACAAGCTAGACCCCCACCAGCCACTCCTCAGAAGGAAGATGGGGCAATCTACTTTTGTAGTGATGTTGTTGTTGTTATTATGTGCCGTTGAGTCAGACTCACCTCATAGCGACCCCTCCTCGGGTTTCCAAGGCGGTATCACTACTGAAGTAGATTGCCCAACCTTCCTTGTGAGGGGTGGCCGGTGGGTTTGAACCGCCAGCCTTCTGGTAAGCAGTCAAGTCCCTTAGGCACCCCAAGGAGGGGTCGCTATGAGTCGAGTCTGACTCGATGGCAAATAACAAGAAGCTAGACCCAGGTGAGCCCTGAAAGTGACTACATGCCCAGGATCATATCTCCCCAGAAAGGGAGACCATGGTGATGCCTCCAAGCCCAGCTGGGCCCTGAAGACACATTCTGTGTGTGCCCTTTGCTGGTGCCCTCAACCCAAGGGAGGGATGACTGACATTCTCCTGTTGCCACTGTGTTCTGTTGGGTCAGTTCCTACGCAGCAGCGACCACAGGTGACAGAGTGGAACTGCCCAGAGGGTCTTCTGGGCGGTCACCTTAGGGGAAGCCCAGCAGCAGGCTTTTCTCTCCCAGCCTGACGGGCTGCAAGTGCCCACCTTCTGGCCACCAGCTGCAGCTTCGCCGGGGCTGCCACCAGCAGCTCCTGCATGTCCATTTCAGACCCGAGGAACTGAGGCCCAGGGAACAAGGGGCAGCCCTGGGAAGGGGTACAGCTGGAATCCACACCGAAGTGTCGGAACTCAAGTCTGCGATGCCCGCTGTGCATCTATGCTGGGCAGAGGGCGTGGGGTTAGGGGATACTGGAAACCCACATTTCACCCGTCCACATCGCATCCCACTGGTTCCCACCGACACGCCCATACGACCCCTGGCCAGGATCGCAGTACCCTGGGTTCGAGTGACCTCACCCTAGAGCCCCCTGATCCAACCACATGGGGGTGAAGAAGGCGAAGGGTCACAGGGCACTGACATCCCACATATGGCGCGCCGGTTGCCTGTGGGTGGGGGTCCCAGCGGGTGAGCGTTGGGGGGACCCTCCACTCACCCGCGCCGGGCCCATCAACGCAGCCACCGCCATAGACCCCGGTGAGGTGAGCAGGGGGGGATTCCACGGACCCAGCAGGACCTTCTCTCAGGTCCTAGAAGGGCTTGGAGGGGACTTCCGTCTTCCTTCTAATTCTTCCTAACTGGGGGCCGAACACTCGCTGGACCCTCACGGTCCTTGTGGACACACCGAGCCTGCAACGGTCAAACGGACTGCTGCCGGAAGTCCCGCCCCTGCCAATGCTAGACTCAAGAAACTCCGGGCACAGCCTTCTGGGAAAAGTAGTTTCTGTTCCGCGTCCCTCAACGTTCTCTGTGGCAATGGCCCAGTGGCCCCGGAGCGGTGCTGGGAAGTGATGTCCAGAGGATATAGTGAAAGAAGGAAGACGGGCAGAGAACATTTCTCAAAGGGAACCCCCTAGATTTCCATGACGTGTTTTTATAACATGGAAATTCCATGTTGTACTTTTTGTAAGAGGAGCTCTGGTGGTGTAGCAGTTAAAGCATATGGATGCTAACCAAAAGGATGATGGTTCAAACCTACCAGCTGCTCTCCAGAAGAAAGATGAGGCCGTCAGCTTCTGTAAAGATTATAGCCTTGGAAACTCTAAGGGGGCAGTTCTACTCTGTCCTATATGGTTTCTATAGGTCGGAACCCACTCGATGGCAGTGGGTTTTTGCGTGTGTGTATGTTTTGTTTTTTGTAAAACAGATGCTCCGAATGGACCAACTGGTCACAAAATACCATACTGTCACTCAGATACAAAGTGGTCCACCTATGTTGTTGTCATTTATGGTAAGTCAAGTCCACTCACGAGCAGCCCGTATGTACAGAGTAGAAACTGTTCCATAGGATTTTTAAGGCTGTGGTTTGGAATTATTTTGGAAGCAGATGGCCATGCCCTTCTCCTGAGATGCCTATGGGTGGGCCTTTCAGGCACCAGTAGAATGCTTAACCATTTGCCTCACCCAGGGAATCGTGACTCAAAAACAAAGTGAGGAAACCAAAACCTTATAGAATATGACAAGTGAATGGGAAACTTGTATGGAGCACTGGGCTGCTAACCAAAAATCCGTGTGTGAAGCTAACATTTCACACCCACCCAGTGGCTCCTCGGGAGAAAGACCTATCTGTTCCTCTAAAGACTGTTGTTGTTAGGTGCCCTTCAGTTGGTTCCAATTCATAGCGACTTCATGTGTAGCAGAAATGTTGCCAGGTCCTGCGCCATCCTCACAATCATTGATATGTTTGAGCCCATTGTTGCAGCCACTGTGTCAATCCATCTCACTGAGGGTTTCCTTCATTTTCACTGCCCCTCTATTTCACCAAGCACAGTGTCCTTCTCCAGGTATTTCTCCCTCCCGATAACATGTTCAAAGCCATTTTCTCTTTTAAGGAGCATTCTGGCTGTACTTCCTTCAAGAGTAATTTATTCATTCTTCGGACAGTCCATGGCATATTTAATATTTTTTGCCAATATGATTCAAATGTGTCAATGCTTCTTGGTCATTCATTCTTCATTGTTCACCTTTTGCATGTTTATGAGACAAACGAAAAGACCATGGCTTGTGTCAGGCACAACTTAATCTTGATGTCACACCTTTGCTTTTTAACACTTTTCAAAACCATCTTTTGCAGCAGATTTGTACAACACAATACATCGTTTGATTTTTTTTTTTTTTTATGGCTGCTTCCATGGGCATTGATTGTGGAGACAAGTAAAATTAAATTCTTCACAAAAAAAAAAAATCAATGATACAAGAAATATCAAAAGAAGATGGAAGGAATATACAGTGTCACTGTACCAAAGAGAATTGGTCAACATTCAACCATTTCAAAAGATAGCATACAATCAAGAACTAATGGTACTGAAGGAAAAAGGTTCAAGCCAAAATGAAGCCAATGTGATCTAGTTTTTGTGGTCTCCAGGAAAGACCCCAACCAACCAAATGAGGGTACTTGTCTTCCACTGACCAAGAATGACCAGGTGAGACAAAGAATTTTGTGTGAGCAAAGATTTATTATAGGAAGACAGTCTGGCCAGAGGAGACAGAGAAGGCTTTAGGCAACACTAATCCCCCTATCCCCAAGCACAGTGTTTTGGTTACATAGTGCCAGTCTAACAGGAATAGACCACAAATGGGATGGCTTGAATAAACAGAAGTTTATTCTTACAGCTTGGGGAGGCTAGAAGTCCAAGTTCAAAGTGCCAGGGTCTTAGGGGCTGGGAGAAGGGCATCAGCTCTACCTCCTGCTCCCGGCCCACTGAAGCTGGAGGCTTTCCTTCCCAGGCAGCTTCTGGCCACTGAGGCTGACAAACCCTGTGTTAGACTGCATTCTCTAGAGAAGCAAAACCAGTAAAGCTTATATACATACAGAAAGAGAAATTTATCTTAGGGAAATGGCTCACACACTTCTAGAAGCTGGCAAGTCCTAAATTCTTGGAGCAAACATCAAGCTGGAGGCTTTTCCTGACTCACACAGCTACAGGGGCTGATGAGCTCAAGGTTGGCAGACAGTACACTGGCTGTTGACTCCAACGAATGATGAATCCAATATTTCCAGGCCAAATGGTGGATTGTTTGCTCATGGACAGTTGTAAGCAGCACAACAAAATCCCAATCCACAGAAGAGTGTCTCTTTTCCCAGGATGTCCATAAATATACTGGAAGCAGGCCAAACCCCTAGGGAAACTCCCTTTCAATGGATTGGCTGCTCAACACATATACATCTAATCCCATCATTGGAGCAACCCACATCACAATTGCTTAAGCCTCACAGAATTGTGGTCCAGCCGACTTGACACACAGCTCCAACTATCACAGTCCACCCCTTGTCAACTTGGAAGTAGTACACATCTTCTTAACCATATATAATCTCTAAATAAGGACAATTATAAAGTCACATTTGTGCCTGACATGATATGCTAAAATGCGTACAACCAAAATGCATTAACCTTATTTACATTTCACAGTTTGTAACAGAAGAAAACAAAAATATTTGATGCACATATACAATGAAGAAATATAACAGTCAGAGTCCTCCTTTCTGCGACTGGTCATATGGTCATAGCTGATATTCAGAACGACCTTCTTCCACCACCCATTCTGTATTTCCCTTGCCCTCAGCAAGCACCTCAGCTGGTCATGGTTCTTTACCTGGTGGAGTGACCCAAACTTTCATTTGTAAACGGTCTGGGCCATTAGTAGTCACATCCGAATTGGGTTGCTGTAATTTTCCATTGACTTTAATCACAGGGCATGGTAGTACTAAGAGATGTCCTGAAGAGTCTCCTGTATTCCAGACATATTCTTCTTTACCTCCATTAGGTAATGCCAATCCAATTTCCCCTTGGTAATCAGGATCTATCACACTGGATAATACAGTAATGCCCTTCTTTGTCTGTTGATCCAGAAGCATGAGGAAGCCAAAATGGCCAGTGACATTCTTAATTTCCAGTTCAATGCAATTAATATTGTGTCTCCAAGTGGGAGTGTTCCTCCCTTTGAGACTGAGATCTCCAGACCTGCAGAGGATAGGTTAGCAGAGTCAGGAAGGAAAAATTTTTTGAGTGGGTTACTAGGGGTAATAGTGAGTGATACCACTCCTGTTTCTGCCCCCTTGGTTCCTGGACTATTGGAGAAACAGCACTGTATATTGGATGCTGGTTTAGAGCATATACAGCCTCCTGGAGAACATAGCCCCAACCCTGCAAGGAATTACCACCTAGCTGGTGCCATAATTGTGTTTTCAGTAGGCCATTCCATTGTTCTATCAAGCCAGCTGCTTCAGGATGATGAGAACCATGGTAAGACCAGTGAATTCCATGAGCATAGGCCCATTGCCACACTTCATTTGCTGTGAAGTGAGTCCCTTGATTTGAAGCAATGCTGTGTGGGTACCATGACAGTGGATAAGGTATTCTGTAAGTCCATGGATGGTAGTTTTGGCAGAAGCATTGCCATGCAAGGAAGGCAAATCCATATCCAGAATAAGCATCTATTCCAGTAAGAACAAAACAGTGTCCTTTCCATGATGGTAGTAGTCCAATGTAATGAACCTGCCACCACGTTGCAGGCTGATCACCCCAAGGAATGTTTCCATATCACGGGCTCAGTGTTGACCTCTGCTGCTGGCAAATTGGGCACTCAGCAGTGGTGGTAGCCAAATCAGCCTTGGTAAGTGAAGTCCATGTTGCTGAGCCCATGCATAACCTCCATCCCTGCCACCATGGCCATTTTGTTCATGAGCCCATTGAGCATTGACAGGAGTAGCTGGGGAAAATGGATGGCTGGTTCCCACTGAACATGTCATCCTTTATTAAAGTCCTCCTCTGCCGAGGTCACCTTTTGGTGGGCATTCACATGAGACACAAATACCTTTACTCCTTTGGCCCATTCAGAGAGATCTATCCACATACCTA